AGAGGTTTAATTTGTCTGTTTCTCTGGTCCAGGTCGAGGCTCCAGACGACATGTTGGATCCATCGGATCAACCTGATCCTGCTGATGGCGGTAAGAATGGGCCTCTGCTGATCAAATCCCTCAGTTCTGTCTGTAAGGCTCAAGCCGTGGGGTCAGCAGACCAGCTGTGATGTTGTCATGGCAACAGACAGCTCAGCTGATGAAGCGTTGAACAACAACCGTGGCATATTTTTCTCTGTAAGGTTCTTATGAAAATCTGAAGGCCGCTGTTTCTGCCAGGCGGCTCAGAGGCGTCGGTACCACGAGGGTCCAGACTGCAAAACCGCTAAGCCCGGTCAGGTTCTGGACGCCCTGCCACTCTGCTGTACCAGCTGTTCTGTGGGGACTGAAACAGCAGCATTCAGGCTGTCACATGACCACCAGTACCGCAGACTGAGGGCTACGGGCTCCAAAGATCCAAACACGGGTTCTGGTCCAACTCTTTGTGGGTTCAGAACTAATTCTGCTAAGAACCAGAAAGAATTCGATCCAGGAAGTGAATCTGAAATTTTGGGCCTCAGAGAACTTTCTGCAGAAATCTGGAGATCCTGATGAGTCAGAACTGCTGGTTCCCTTTGGACCGGTATCGGGTCTAACTCCTGAATGTTCTGTTGGTTCTGGTTCCAGCGTCCAAAGAGTCGGAGAGGGACATCTACATGCGCTTCATGAAGTGCCACAAATGCTACGACCTCATCCCCACCAGCTCCAAACTGGTGGTGTTCGACACCACCCTGCAGGTGAGTTCGGTTCTGTTGGGTCCTGTTGACAGTTCCGTTTCTGTGATGAGGCTCAGACTGAGCCCGCTGCTCGGGTCCAACTCCCTGAGCCCAGTCATGGTTCTGGTCCTTAATGGGCCAGCTGAGGTTCCGGTCCAGCCGAGGTTCCGGTCCAGCCGAGGTTCCGGTCCAGCTGAGGTTTCGGTCCCAGCCAAGGTTGCGGTCCAACCGAGGTTCCGGTCCAGCTGAGGTTCCGGTCCAGCTGAGGTTCTGGTCCAGCTGAGGTTCCGGTCCAGCTGGCTGTGCAGCCTCAGAGCTGCATTTCAGGCACGGTTCCCCCGGCCCGATAAAGGCAGACTTTAACTGTGCACTGAGGTTCTGAGTTCTGGTTCTGCTGTGACCCGCTTTGATCCAGATCCTTAGACTCCAGTCTTCCCAGTGGAACCAGTTGTTGCCGTGTGTTTTCAGGTGAAGAAGGCCTTCTTCGCTCTGGTTGCTAACGGAGTGAGGGCGGCGCCTCTGTGGGAGAGCAAGAAGCAAAGCTTTGTGGGTAAGAATGTGGTCCCGTGGCTCCACCCACGCGCTCGCCACAGCCTCCATTTTAACTGCTTGCTTGTGTTCCAGGGATGCTGACCATCACTGACTTCATCAACATCCTCACCAGATACTACAAGTCACCCATGGTAACGCCCACACGCATCACTACTATTAGTGCTCCATGGTAAAAACCTTCACATCATTTTAACCAGCAGCTGCTGTCATGGCAACAGCTGCTACCCTGGATGTAAACCCCTCTCTGGATGTCTGAGAAATCTGCAACAGTCGGAACTTCTGCTGACCTTGTTGCCCTCCGATAGGGTCACCTGCCCTCCGATGGGGTAATTTCCCCTCCGATAGGGTCACCTGCCCTCCGATAGGGTCCCATGACCTCCGATAGAGTCACTTGCCTTCTGATAGGGTCCCCTGCCCTCCGATAGGGTCAGTTGACATGTGTGTGTGTGTTTCTGTCCAGGTGCAGATCTATGAGCTGGAGGAGCATAAGATTGAGACGTGGAGAGGTATGACTATGAGCTGATTTTAAGAAAGAATTCTTTGGCATTTGCAGAATAACATTCCTGTTCTTTTTGGCAGAGCTGTACCTGCAGGAGACCTTTAAACCTCTAGTCCACATCTCACCTGATGCCAGGTACCTGCTTCTGCTCTTTGAGGCCACTGTGTGAAAAATAGCTGATTAGTTGGTGAGTCAGACAGCGGCTCTGGACTAGCGCCATCAAACACTTCTCCCCCCCCCTACAGTGTGTTCGAAGCGGTTCATTCTCTAATAAAGAGCAAGATCCATCGACTTCCGGTCATTGACCCGGTCAGCGGCAACGCTCTCTACATCCTGACGCACAAGCGGATCCTGAAGTTCCTGCAGCTCTTTGTGAGTCTGGGGGGGGTGTCACTGTTCACCAAGTCCATCCATCTCCTTAGTCCCAGACCAAGGGATGGAACTCGGTTCATACATTGTCTGGGTTCATTCTCCTCTCTGACCGGGGACTCACCCCTGGCATATCTAATATCTGAATGTTTCTAGATTAGACTGAGACCATAGATGAACTCCCTGCAGGACTCAAATGGTTCGGTGTTCTCGGCTACATCTGGGGTTGAGGTTTAATGGTGGTCTTACTGCTGGTGTTTTACCACAGACCCATTTCCACTACCCTCTGAAACTGATCCGTGCCGAGTTCAGACCAAGCTTGGATCAGTTAACCGTGCTGAGCTCAGTTCATTACGACCATTTACACACCACCCTAGCATGGTCCCTCGCCTCCTAGTGGCGATCTACGGTACTACTGCTCTCTAGAGGGAAACAAGAAAACCAACTTGGCAGCGCCCGTAACATTCAGAAGTTAGCGGAGAGTCAAGCGAAGAAGGCAGCCTTTGGTGAATTTACTTGACAGAGTCAGCTTTTGGGAAGCGGATATTACAAACGATAATCTGCGTTAGGAAAGCTAAGATTTTTAGGAATGTCTGAAATTTCCTGATTACGGAGTCTGACTGTAAGGAGATGACGCGGTCTGCTGATGCGCTCTTTGTTATCTGAGAACCGAGCCAGAACCGAACCATGCCTAGCCCTACTGATGAACTCGTACCAGTTAAGCACGGTTGTGTCTGGCGCATTCCGGTTCAGTTGTGCGTACCATTTACACTCAACATTTATCTGGGTTACCGTGCTCGGACCAATCTCAGCACGGTTTCTAAAGGGTAGCGTAAAGGAAGCTAATGGCTCTGTCTCAGGTGTGTGAGATGCCAATGCCAGCCTTCATGAAGCAGACTTTGGAGGAACTTGCAGTTGGAACGTACTCAAACATCGCCTACATCCACCCTGACACCCCGCTCATCACGGCCCTGTCCGTATTCACTCATCGCCGAGTCTCGGCGCTGCCTGTCGTAGATGATAATGGTGAGTAGCTCCATCAGCAAGTCAGGTGTTGATGTCCAGAGCTGTTCTGATTCCCTCCTGTATCTATCTGCAGGGAAGGTGGTGGATATCTACTCCAAGTTTGACGTCATTGTGAGTACAACCATCCTTTCCTAGTTCTGTAGAACTTAGTCCAACACTGATGGGATGACTCCTGTACTTGAGCAGAACTTGGCAGCCGAAAAGACCTACAACAATCTGGACATGACGGTCACCCAGGCTCTCAGACACAGGTCACAGTACTTTGAAGGCGTCATGAAGTGCAACAAACTGGAAACCCTGGAGACCATCGTGGACCGGATTGTGAAGGCAGAGGTACCTTCTCCCGCATGTGATGTTACACCATGATCCAGGATGGAGATGAGTTTTAATCTTACTGGGGAATTATTGTAGAACAACTCAGGAGGGGCGGGGAGTTTATTCCCGGCTTTTATGGTGAAGGGGTTTTGCTGATCCAAATCCAGTTTACGCTCGGTGTTTGTGTCTGCAGGTCCACAGGCTGGTCGTTGTCGATGACGAGTCTCGTATTGTCGGCATTGTGTCTCTATCGGACATCCTGCAAGCGCTGATCCTGATGCCTGCTGGTACAAACTTTACTCCTGTTTCCAGTCATGAATATGTTTTAATCGGGCATCATGGGAGGTGTAACATAACTGCGATCAAGATCAACACCGGGTTACGAGATATTCTTGGTCCCAAAGTTTTTAGTTATTGGTGAACACAGATGTGAACAGAAGCGTGAGGAGATGTTAAGAGTAGGCCAACTAAACAATAGGGGTGGTGATGCAGACAGGAGAATCCGCAGCCAGGGATTAGCCAGCGCACCCTGGCCCAAAGCGCCTGATGCCTCTGTTAGGGAAGTGGAAGTGG